AAACAAATGTTTTTTTATTTCAGCACTATTCAGGAGAGAATGTGGCTTTTCAAATGACATGTAATAAAATGATTTGGAAAAGTATTTGGTTTAAACACAGAGGAAGATGGAATTCTTATAAATATTTATTATTTGGGGAGATTTATTGGGCAATTTAATTTTAAATTTAGAAGGGGATAAATTGTATAACAGGGGGGAGGCAATTCAAGAGAATAAAACAGGGAATCTTTAGGAAAAAAAAGAGAATATATATATAAATTATTTATTAATAAAGGAGATATATTTCAAATTCTTTCTCAAATGAAAGGATATTGACAAAGATAAATTTTTTGTTATTCTATGGGGAAAATCTTTTAGAGATACAGGGGATAATTTTAAAACCATTCATATATATGTATTTTTATTTTAGGGGGAAATCATTAAAGGGAAACAAATTTATATTTAAATAAAATTTATAAAATAGATCACATTCTTTAAAAGGAAATATAGATAAAGGGGGATTTACAAGGAGGGGAAATAGAGATACAGGGGAGGCGAAATCATGGAAATAGAGATACAGGGGAAAATCAGTTTTTAGATACCATGAATAGCAAAATAATATTTGAAACAGAGCTCATATGGACAGGTAAAGAGGAGAGAAACAAAGCTCAGAGGGTGGGAAGGAAAGAGAAATTTATCAGAGGGTGGGAAGGAGGAGAAAGCAGATTTCAGAAAAAATAAAAAAAAAAAGGAGGAGAGAATTTAGAGCTCAGAGGGTGGGAAGGAGGAGAGAAGCAGAGCTCAGAGGGTGGGAAGGAGGAGAGAAGCAGAGCTCAGATGGTGGGAAGGAGGAGAGAAACAGAGCTCAGAGGGTGGGAAGGAGGAGAGAAACAGTGTTTGGTGAGAGGGAAAGAAGGAGGACAAAGATTTTAACCCTTTCAGAAAAGGAGGACAGATTCCATTATTTTTAAAATGGGGAGAAATTTAGGAGAGAAAAAAAAATTAAATACAGAAAGATAAATAAAAAATATAGGGGAGAAAAAGCTGTTACTCTAATAAAATAAAAATCGACCACACACAACAATTTTTAGCTTCAAAAACAAAATATGAATTAAATTATCTTCTCTATTTCCCAATTTGGATGAAATGACTTTGTCTATCTCATTTGTTTATTTTTACTAGAAAAATAAGCCGGCTTTAGTCAACTTACTTTTTATTTTATTACTCTTATTGAAAAATTAAATTCCATATTAATTTCAAATGGAATACATCAGGATTTTGATTTCTTCAATTACACTTTTAAATTTCTGAAAAAATTTTGTTTGAAATAAATTTAAACAAAAAGGATTTTGCAATTGTCAAAAGAAAGCCTAATGTCTGCAGTTATTTGACAAATAAGATGCCCTTAGATGGGAACATCATGCTACTTGTAAATAAATTAACCCCACCAAAAACTTAATGACTGGATGCAAGGGACAACTGAAAATTGAGAGAGTGAAATGAGAAAAAAATTGAGGAGAAAAAAAAACAAACACCACTGGTGAATAATGCTGCAGCTGAAAATTTCTTCCCATATTATCTATTTGCTGAAATTAAATTTTTAGTCATTTTAATAAGAAATAAGCTAAAAACATTAATTTTCCAGAAAATAAAAAAAAACCCTCAAGATCCTTTAAGCTTATTTGTTCTGCAAAGAAGGGTGAGAATTTATTTTAATGACACATAACAAAATTATAGTTAAGGCATATATTTTACATGATTTGTCCAAATCATTTAAAAGCAAAATTGTCCATTTGTTAGATTAAGCTTTGAAACATTGTATCTTAGAAATGATTAAAGATATCTTACTGGAATTCTCTAAGGTTGTTATAACACTATTGAACTCTACTTTGAGCAATAAGAATGTATAATTGCTCTCCAAGCTTAACAAAAGAAACGTGATGAAATCGATCATAAATGAAAATGACAAATTCATCATTAATTAATCATAGCTAAGGATCGGAAGCTCATGAAGTATTGAAATAAAGTTCAAATATATATATATATATATATATATATATATATATATATATATATTTTCCAATCATTTTCAAAATTATTCAAGATGATCTTCCCTCTCTAACCTTCTAACTTTCTGTCCTGGAGTAACAAGGTGTTTCACAGGTTTCACATACGATTTCATTTTCAAGTCTTTTTTCACTGCTCTTTGGACTGTCATAGCTGAAACTCCTCTCTCACGTGCCAAACGTCTTATGGATTGAGTTGGATCTTTTCTAATTGATATCTTTAGCTCTAAGTTGAAATGATGATCCCTCTTCCTGTTGTGACCTCCTGATCCAGTTTTCCTCTCTACTGTTCCCTCTTTTTGAAACTTATTCACCGTTCTCTTGATGGTTCTTGAATGGACTTTGAAGATGGAAGCCAGAGTATGAATGTTGGTACCATTACTGAAGGCCTGAATGATCTTTTTGTCTCACCATTGCTCAGTTTGGGAAGACAGTGGGTCTGACACAAAAACAATTTTAACCTGTTCTCTTTTTAGCTGAATAACTCAAATGGTTTTTCAGTGATTCTTACGACAAATGGTGTCAAGATGGCTAAAACGTCTTATCTGAAAACCTGGAAAAAAAAAAAATCAATTAGTTTAGTGGTTTTTTTTTAGATATTAAAACATTTTGTGGGATGGACAATTATGCTGTTACACGATTTGGACAATTTTGCCATTAAACCCTTTATATATATATATATATAATATATATATTATATAAATAATATTTTTATCAAAATCCAGATTATTATAATTCATAAACCCTCATTTTTTATTTGGGTAATAAATATAAAAATGGCCTAATGATTACATTTAGCAAAAACAGAAGGATGCGTATTCTATTTTTTGACTTATTGTGTCTACTTTCTCTCTCTATATATATATATATATATATATATATATATATAAATATATATATATATGTGTGTAAAAACATTTTTTTTAATCACGACATATATATATATATATTATATATATAGGTTTAAGTTTTATATATATATATATATAAAATTTATTTTTGTATGTTGATATCAATGAAAAAGTTTTTAAAAAGTGTGTGTATTTCAATAATATTCAATATATATATATATATATATATATATATATATAATATATATATTTATATATTTATATTTGACATAAAAATTTTTCTGTTTTACATTTAAGAATGTGTTCTATCAGACATTTGTTTTTCAATGAACTCTAAATGAAAATTCTTTTTATGAAACTATTAAAAGGGGTTTTGGTCTAGAAATTTATGGTCTGATTTCTGAAAATGCAGAAATTCAATTTCAAAAATTAAATTTTAGATTTAACAATTTAGATCGGCTTTATAGCTTTTAATTCAGTTTGAAAATGAATTTTAGTGCTCCTGAAAATATATGAATAAAAATGTTGCATTTTTTTTTTTTTTTCTTTCTGATAATTACAAAGAATATTACATCAAAAATTGATATTTGATAAAGATTTTTTATAGTGCCAAAAAAAACTTTTTATGAATTCAATTTTTGTTATGAAAGGAACTAAATACATCTTAAATATTTTCCAGACAACAATTTTCATACATTTTGCAAATTTAAATTGTTTTAATATTTCAGCAGTTTTGTCAGTGCTTTTCAAAGTTGAATTCTCGTAAAAAAAAAAGCAAAATATTAATGTAAACTTTAAAATGTATTAATTTTTTTGAAAACAAAATGTATTTATGTTTTTAATTTAAAAAGTTTTTTGTTTTATATTAATCCCCTTTCCAACTTTTCATATCAGACATTTTGGTGAAAGAAGGTCAAATTCAACGTGTCTGCCATTTATGCATTTTAACAGGATTGCAATGACTTTCCTAGCAAAAAGAGATTCCAGAACTGATCATCTAAAAGGAAATAATTGAACATATGCAAGTTTTGATTAACTTCAAATGATCATCACTTTAGAAATACTTTGAGTTAAAGCAAAATTAGACCAGTTTTAAAATCTTGAAAATGTCTTTCAGACTAGATATGGTACATTTTATTCAAAAAAGTTCCCCAAAAAATAAAAAAAATATTCTATTTGTTTTTTCTATTATTATAATTTTTAGGATTTTAGATTTTTAGTGATGAATTTATTCAAACAAGTTATAACAACTATAATTTTTGACAAGTTGTTCTTGCTGGCAGATTAGTCTCTGTATCTTGGAACTGAAGGTATAAAATGCCTGTTTTTTGCTCTTTGTGTTAAATTTTGATAAACGTTTCTAACTAATTTAGTCATTATAAAAATTTAAGATAAATGAAATTCAAATTATCGGTAAGACTTTAAATTCTATCTGACAGCTCTATTGTTTTTTTTTGAGGATCAACCTTTTCCAGGTTATTTAAAGCCAGAAAATATATTGCTGTTGTTTTCTCAGGTTCACACTGATCCAGGATGATAACACCTGTTAAGATACCAGCTATGGGAAAATAGTTAACCTTTAAAAACAGATTGGCAAAAATTATAAAATGAAAAAATATTTAAAATAGAAATTTTTTTGTAAAAAATTACCAGAATAAATTTTCAAAATATTAAAAAAATACCAAATAGAGTTTTTTTAAAAAAATTTACTAATGAAACGTTTCAGCAAAAAATGACCCATAAGGAATTGATTTGAAATAAACAAACCAAACATTTATATTTTTGAATGTAAAAAATATAAAATAAATATGTGTTTGAATCAGTATTTATTGATTTAATGATTTGTTTTTTTAAATATCAACACTTTTGCAGGTTATTTAAAACAAAGAAAATATTTTTAGATTGTTTGAATTTTTTAAACAATAATGATTTATTGATACAAGTTATAAATTTAACCCATAGCTGAAGGAACAAATACTGGATTCATATCTTTTCTCAAGGTTATTTTTCTCAGGTATGAAAATATAATGAACTCAATTTGGAATTTTTTTTCATTCAAACCAATTTCATGCCATTATACATTATACCATATACATATCCAAGATTTCAGCACCTGGTATTCCCAAGTGATCACCCAACTAGATACTAACCAGTTTCAATGTTGCTTAACTTCAGTGATTATATGTGAACTGGGGTTTCATTATGTTATGGCCATAAGCCAGCACAACCACAAAGCCCTTATAAAAAAAAATCTTTTACAGTCATTTGTCCAGATTTTGAGAAATTGGGTTTATATTTTTTGTTCAAGTTTAGTCATAATTTCTTCTGGAATAATATTCATGTCCAGAAAAACCTATTTTAAAACAACCACATGTCTGTGTGTGTGTGTGTGTGTGTGTGTCTGTGTGTGCATGTCCTGGTTTATTCTAAAATAGAGAAAAAATAAAAATTATTTAAATTTTCATAGCCATATAAAATGGAAAAAAAAAAAAATTTTATATATATAAAAATATAAATATATCTGAAAGGTTTAAAGAGGAAAAAAAACCCACCTGACATGTCCATGTAATTCATTACTTATACTGGACTGTAAAAATATGATTTTTGACCCCATAACCTGAGCCTTTTAGACTGCTGGCTGGCATAACAATGGAATTTATTTAATGGCTTTTGAAAAGTCTATCATCTTGCTGTTGTAACCTTCAGGATCAGTTTTTTAATAGGAGGCCTCTTCTCTATTTGGAAAAAAAAATTGATTACTCAAAATATATTGCGTATGTGTGAATATAGAAGATTATTGCAAAAGACGTACTTAAAATGCTGGTGGCATATAAGTTAAATGAGAATACAATGGAATCATAAATATAAAATCAATAAAACTTTGACATGTCCCATCAATGAATCAGCATTCACCAACAGTCCATCAGCAAAACATATCAAAATAATGGTAATATTTGCTTTTCCATTATCAAAAAAATTTTCTTTTTCTTTTAACTGAATGTATGGAATTTTGTCATGTCTTCATCTGAAATTTATAAAATCTTTCTCTTTTTCAAAAAAAAAAATATTTAAAATAAATACCTTTAAAATTAATACTTTTTTTTACTTTTAAATAAATAATTAATAAATACTCTTAAAATAAATACTCTTAAAATAAATACTCTTAAAATAAATACTCTTAAAATAAATACTTAAAATAAATACTCTTAAAATAAATACTTAAAAAAATAATTTTTAAAATAAATATCTTAAAATAAAACATTCTTTTAAAATTCATACTTTTCAGATAAATACTCTTAAATTTCGATACTTTTAAATATTTTTAAAATAAATACTTCAGATAAATAGGTTTCTTGAGTTTACTATTATCACTCTATCCAGTGTTGATGGAGATTTCCTTCCTAACCTTTTGGTTTGAACTTAGTTTGGAATGTCAAATTTTGATTATAAATCATTTTTTTTTCTTTTTCCAAATGTAAACACGAGATTTTAAAGTTCCTATTCTGAAAAGTTATTTGAACACATTAATAACTAAACATTTTCATCTTTAAGATTCTGTAGCACCAGTCCAAAAAGATCTGAATAGATGGATGTCACATCCTTATTAAGATTTTAATTGTTTTTTTCATTCAAAGCCATTTTTAACCATTGATCTGAGAAAGTGGTCGTTTGCAGCTGACAGTTAAGATATTTCAGAACGAATTTGGCACTATACATGACATCTGTATAAAAGCCTCAATCTGACATGGCTATTTAAAAACATAAGTTTTAGGCTAATGTTTTGGTCTTGTCACAATTTGTAGTATTGGGTGAAACTATCCCTAGCACAGCCTATCTGATGTTCAATTTCCTTATCTCATATATAATTTGCTGTAAATATCCCAACGAGATTTTTGCAAAAATATGCATTTACAAAGGAAGGATTTTCAATTCAAAATCAACTAAAATGGATAGCACATGTGAAAATAATCAAAATATTAACATTCAACATTACCTCAAACAAAAAGTTAGGAAGGACACCCCACTCCCATTAATCCTGGAAAGGACAATAAACTACATCTGGCAGCAAGGGCTCTGATCAGGAAATTAAAGCTTTCAAAACTGCTGCTGTTCCCAGGTCAACTCTAACCTATGATAGTAACACTTGTTAGGGTCCCAGCTATGGGCAAAAAGTGAACCCCAAACAAAAATTGACACTACATGTTTACAGCAAAATGACCAACAAAATATTATTATTGTAAAATTACCAGCAATACTGTTATATTCCGTGCTAAGGGAATAAACACATAACACCAGGTGGATACTAGAAGAAAGGTTTATTGTACACAACAAGTACAATATAATATATGGTGCAGTTATACACACAGGTCAATCTAGTAGTGAGTGCCACTAATTGGAAGGTAGGACGTGCTTGCGTCGACTCGCTCTCACTCCTCCTCTTTTCCTCCAAGTCTCTCGTAGACAGTAGACTTTATAGGTACTTACTACCTATAGTGTAATCATTCATAGGGGTGACATCAAATACATTTTATGATCTACAAATTATATATGTAAAAAAAGTACCTTTTACTCTGAAAGTCTAAAATTATGTACAAAATATTTAGATTTGAGCATTAAATAACCCATAGATATGTTGATATGCCACTAAACAACTAAATGTAATATTTCTTAAAGTAATCAAAGTGTATTCCAAAATATAACTTCAACAAAACTACCACATAAAATATGTCACTTGTAATTATGTTCACACAAACATGTATATGCAGAAAAGCTGCATATCATCTACCATGTATTCAAATGTGAAAGCAGAATAACACATATTTTAATTCTTCCAAATTAAATGCCAGCATTAAAGTTGTCATGCCATTAAACTAAAATTAAAAAAAGGATTATAGTGCCTAAGTTAAAAAAGTAATAGTGCCTGCTCGGTCAATGAATGCCGATTGTTTTGGCAAATATTACCATTGCAGTTGTCAATCTCAGTCATTAGTGAAGCCACATCATAAGATAGTATTAAGACACATCATATGATAGTATTAAGACACATCATATGATAGTATTAAGGATAAATATGAAAGGTTAATGGTCAAAACAAAAAAGTTTTTGGGATTTCTCTTATGAAACAATCTCTTTTCAACTAGGTTTGAACCAAGTGTTAATTTTTCAAATCAGATTCCCCCCTCCCAACCCATTCTGGACAATTCCAAACTCCCCAAGTGTTGTTTTCCATACCTTAACCACAACTGGCATTTTGCTCATCTTTTTCATTATATATATTTTTTATCATTTGATTATAGCTCATCAAAAAACAGTAAATATGCTTAATTTAATTAGTTTTTTAAAAAAAAAATTAAGAAACACAAATAGAGGCCCTCCCCTACTTACAAAGATTCAGGTTACAAATTTGTGTAGGTACAAATAAACCAATAAGATTCAATTCTGTAATTTCTATATGTGGAAATTATTCTTCATCTTTCTTAGTAAGCAGTAGCAATGTAAATTGTTCAGACCAGGTGACAGAACTTCAAAGAGAAAGCATTTGGAAAGAAAACAGTACTGAACCGTTATGTAATATCAATCCGCCTATATGCAGTGAATGCTGGATCAACTCTTCACAGATGAAGCAACAGAAATGTGAGTATCAAATTTTCCAAACCTTCTTTCCTCATTATGAGCCCTAGAAATTTCATCTCACTCTTTCTGATGTTAAGTATAAATGTCCAAAAAGGACATTTATACTTAACATTTCCATTTTCTCTAAAACTTTGTTGTTGCTCACATGTCCAGTTCATGGTATTCTCATCATCTTTCAGCAGAACCACATTTCTGTTGCTTCAAGTATTTTCTTCATCTATGATGAGATTCCTTAATACTATGCTTAGCTTTTAGAAGTTATCAATGTGCCTTTGGATTTCTGTGTTGCATTTTCCAACCTCTATTAAAACACTTCCCAGATATTAAACTTCTTGTACATGTTTGATTTTAGCACCCCCAATTTGTAATTTGCATTTTGGGCTCCGTCCATTTTGCTAACAACCATGTATTATTTTGTCCTTTCTTCCAATAGTGGCTACAAATATTTTTATTAGGGATTTTATAAATAGCTTCAATTAGCTAAAACTATCAGAGATATAAGTCCATCTCAAAAATTTGATAATTTATTTATCAGGGTTAAACTAAGACAGATTTAAGTAACAAAGGATTAAGATATTTGTCACAAAAAAAAGAAAGAAAAAAAAATGTGATAATTCATTCTTTTGTAGGCCACTGATCTTTATTTTGTGAAAGCACAATTGAAACATGAATCTGACATCTTGAGTTTATGATTGTTGAGATCACAATTTATCAAAAATGTTCATTGGCAAGAAAAGAAGCTGAACCAGAGATCAAGTTTCAATCTCAAACTTGTTTCCTCTGACCATGCCCATCTGCATAGAACGGCAGAGAGACTAAAGTGAAATCTTACTCCACTTGCTGACACTTTTACAATTCACTGTTACTATCTGATTATGCTTTCTTTTTAACTGTATTTTCTTTTGTCATATATATATATATATATATATTTTATTTTAGGATATTGCATCAAAAACATTTCAAAACTGCTACACAATTGCAGTTGTGTTTCGATGCATATACAATGCATCTCATCAGGTGATTGGAAATTACTGGCAAGTGAACAATTTAATCAGATTTAAAAGCAAAATACAGCCTCTTTTTACGGAAAAAAAGAAGAAAAAAAATGTCTAGAATTTTGTTAGATTACCACTTCATTTTTTCTTAGCAAATGACATTTTCTAATGTACAATATTTATCCATTTACATCCACTCCTGTTTAACATCTGTTGCTGTCACCGATTTCAAATCTACAGGTCATGAAAATAATTTCTTTATTTTTGATTCTTCCCTTAGGTTAAATTTAACGTAGGTCATATTCAATTGGTTGATTTGAGTAAAGTCCACAAAACTTATACCCCACCTTTTTCTTTTTTCCATAAAAAGAGGTTGTATTTTGCTTTTAAATCTCAAGAAATCGTTCACTTGCCAGTAACTTACAATCACCTGATGAGATGTGTTGATACACATTGAAACACAACTGCAATTGTATAGCAATTTTGACATGTTTTTCGATGTAATATCCTAAAATAAAAATATTGCTCTACTTTGTATTGAACCCTCTTTTAAATTAAATGTTATGAACGCTGTAATTGTACTCTATT